TAACCATAACCGACTATATGCGAGACGAGCACGCAGTAAAGTCGACGCCATACAATATAACTGAATGGCATTGACTGTGGTTAATAAGTGAGATCTACTCGTACGTCGCTTGGAATATTTCGGTCTATTTAATAGATCTTTAAAGCGTAAATTGAGATTACCACATAATGAATGGCAAGTTTTTGAATGAACCCAAAGACTATGAATTTTGGGAATCTAATTTATCAAGAGTGTTATCACCTTGGACTCCACATGGCTCACCGGTAATTTCTAATGTCTCGGTTGCAACGACTTAACCACAAAAAACGTAGATTCTTTCTTTGTGTTTTTGTGAAGAAATTCACATAAAAAATATCAAAGATTGTTAATCATAGATTTTTTCATGCATTCGAAAGATGGTAGATTATATTGCCTTCGACTGTATGAGATGTGAGATGTCGAACGACCGGACACCATCTCTGACCGACTAATTTGAAGCCCCCTATGGTGCTGTCTAAAGGTTGACATTTCTGCATTCTAAGGGGATATATTGGAGGTAGAATGCAATGCTAGCAAATCTAATGCCGAGAGATGTCTCTCCATCCCCACATGAAAGTGCTTAAAGTATAGACGATAGCATATATGTACAGGGTATCTCAGAATGGGTGAATCAAACTGATAGGGGAGGTAGCTCTACTAAAATGTTCTATCCCAAAAAAATATGAAAAAACATTTTTGAGTTCGGATTTTTTTTAAATAAAGTGCTCTAAACTCCAAATCTAGTCATTATTTTCAAAAGTTTGTTTACAGATAAACGAAGCGATCATGTACAATTAATATTAGTAAGAAAAAAGTACAAATAAACTCCAAACACAGCAATTATAGCCAGATACTTAGGCAAAGCTGATATATTTTCACTTTTTCAAAAAAAAATTTTTTTTGTTTCCTTATGCGCTTTATTTTTTTTTTCATTTTTTTTTTGGGATAGTACATTAGTAGAGCTACTATCAGTTTGATTCACCCATTCTGGGACACCCTGTATATGTAACCTATTATGCAAAACATAACCTATTACGATTACATAAAATCCTATAGTGTTCACCTTGGGGTGCTATCGTCTGTACCTTAAAATTTTGAACCTTAACTAATTATTGTAAATGCAAAACATGATTGTCGCTGATTGTTCATTTACATGGACTTTCCTTACAATTGAAAAGAATTTAAGCAAAATTCACGTTTTCCTTTACTTACACAAACACACAAGCATTGAGCTTATAAAGGGGTAGTATTATAAGTTCCGTTTGCGTCGGGGTAGAAAATAAAAACAGATAAAGTCACAAAAAATAACAAGTTCTTTTAAACATGTCTACGATTTGGTGCTTTCTTTTATCTCAGTTTGTTTTGTACCCCGATTGTTTTAAATCTGAGACGTAGAAGGAAAAAGAATAAATGTGGTAATACTCGTATTTTTAAGCAATTTTTATTTTAGCATACAGATTTACCAGAATAAAATCAATCGTACATTTACAATAGGCGCATTTCCAGTCTTGAATAATACGAAGCAATGCTTAATCAATTGATTTCCTAGAATTTTTTCATAAAAACATGATTTTATTGTAATGAAAACATCGGAAAATCGCTGCGTTAAGTGTAACCAGCACTTAACCAGTTTCGTGGTAAATAAAAATACTCGGTTCAACAATTTAAGCAAGCAATTGGAAGTTTCCAATTTCTAAATCAACTTGGAACCTCAAAAGAATCAATAAAGGGAAGTTTGCACAACATCCTGTTTGAGTGGAAACCGATTAGCAACAATACCGTCGGAAATCCAATGTTTATTTTATTTAAAACAGGTAATTAAGCATGATACACTCCATATTTATTTTGAGTCTTTATTTAAACAAAGAATAATAAATGTGCCATGATTTTTCTCTTTGGGAATTGAATGTTTGCTTATTATTTGCTTTAGATAGAAAGCAATGAAGTATGTATCATTACATATATTTTTTACTAATATAAATGAAATGTTAAGTTATTGTCAGTCAAAAGACGACTGCACATTAAATTATGTACTTACAGTATGATGTGCTGTTTTAATTGATTATTATTGTATGTAGCTATCTAATGATCAAATACCGAAAACTGTACTTTTTCATAATATTGGAAAGTTTTATTATAAGTAATGTAAATGGTAGGTATATTAAATATGCTGAAACAATATTGTTCATTTGAAATTCTCTAAAATCGCAATCAATAGCTGGTAAGTAAAAAGAAAATAGCCAAAATTTCTTAATACCTACGAAAATACCCACTTAAATATCGCTATGCCCAAAAATGGTCTCATGTAATACGTACACAGATATTATGAAATCTTGTCATTGATGTAGAATTATGTGAGATACATCATTAGCAACGGAATAATTATCCACATGCAGACTCAGCTTAGCTCTTCGTAAAGCACTAAATGCATTGCAACGATACAAATCCGTACACGAACGTTGAAACGTATATGGTACCAATATCGGAAAAGCCGAATTCTATGCATACTGAAACGTACAAATTACTATGATACACGAAAGCTATTTGCACGTGTAATTTCCAGCTACGTGATTAAAACATAGTTATAACTTTTAGTGACAAATATGATGTCGTTAATAAGTCAAACAGAATATATTCAACATTTTAATAGCGTTTATTTAATTTTAATTTCCATTGCCACAAAACTATGAGGTCAATTAATTAATGAAAAATAAACATAGAATAATGCAATATTCGAATTGATTCATAGTTACATTTTATTGATTGGTCATCATATCATAATAAAACGTCCGTAAAAGGTACCGTTAGGATATTTTTCAGTCAATTATTTAACTGATGCCTTTTCCATTTAATTATAGCAAGTCTATCAAAAGAACTCAACAACTTTAAAACCGAAAGTTAAACTCTTCGGTCCCCTTTTTAATCAGGAATTAATGGTCCAAAAATTATCATCTTATGCTCTATAAAATATAATAAGGGGCACGATGGTCTAGTGGTTACAGTTTTTTACTCTTTCTAAGCAGACCCAGGATTAGGTTCCAGGTAGTACAGATATCCTACTAATATTATAAATGCGAAAGTTTGGATGTTTGTTACTCTTTCAAGCAAAAACCACGGAACGGATTTTGTTGAAACTTTACTGTGTTATTGTTTGTAACCCAGATTAACATATAGGCTATAAATGTATGCCAATCTGTGACACTAAATTTCACGCGGGTGAAGCCGCGGGCAAAAGCTAGAGGCATAATGATACCTGACACCAGCTGACTCTAAAAATCTTGACAATAAGGTTTATAACCTCAGTTGTTGCAACCCATGTGGGTTGTAAGCATGTACTTCAATAATAAAATCGAACACATATTTTTCTGTCTGGTGTGTGGTGTCTGGAGCACGCTAATAAAGAGGGTAACTTAAATTAGCTACAAACTCATTAATTAATTCCAAGACTAGTAATTAAGAACTCTACAACAGTTAAAGCATCAAGGAGTTAATTTAAAATCGAACCGAAGGTAAACTATGGGTTGCTACGCTAATATTGCAAATAAATACCCTGAAAATGAAATTCTGATAAATATCCTAAAGTGTTTTTGTCTGTCTAAGGCTGTAGGTGAATATCATAAAAAACAGATCAATTGCCAGTCAGAATTACACATACTTAAAGGATCATTATTCTTGGTCAAGCTAAAAGAGTTCCTTATAATATCATAATGTCTCTATAGTATTCAGGAGTTCTATAATTTGAGTAGGATGCGATTATGAAAATTATGTATGAATAGGTATGGAGAAACATTATTGTATTTTAATTGTAATTTAATATTATATAAATAATTAATTTTATAATTTATCAATATTAATTATTATGTGGGTATGACTAACTATTGTAGAATATTTAGTAATGTACGATACAAGATTTGCAATACCCTTACAGGGTCATAAGTTGAGACTTTAAGTTTAAGATCAGCCTATATACACTTATGAAGCAATAAATGATTATGATTATATTAAATTCATACAATTATCATATTGTATCTCCTATTCTCATTATAAAATCTAGTCAAAAATGGCAAAAGAACACACAACTTTTTATTTTGCTTTTCTCCTTTCCATTTTAAAGTGCAGTTAATTGATTTTTTTATTGGTGTTATTGCCTTAATAGTAATAATAAAACTACTACTGCTACCGTAATTGTGCTTAGCAATACGGTTCCGTTAGCAATAATAAAAATGTGGTGAGTAAAAAAATATCTCCACAAAAGCTGTAAACAATTTATACCGAAATTGTTTACTTTGATTGTGTTTGTAAAGGTTCACAAATAAAACAGATACATGAATTTTAAAACGCGTCTTATACGAATTATTATTTCAAAGAAAATTGTGAGCTCAACCAGCTGTTTGTATTAGCCCTTGAAAATAAATAAAAGGCTCACTAACTTCTTGACTTTACTCATAGCGACGCTTTCAAAATCTGTTAATTTTTTTAACAGATTGTTTTTGACGGAAAAAATTTGTCAATGAATGTTGTAGGTACTAGGTATACTTATTTTGTATGATATTTAAATTCAACTTGGTAACTTAATATTTGCATGTTTTTTCTATGAAACAAAACATGAGCACACCACATTGTAAAATATCTATGTATTACCATGTTTTGAGCAAACAAAATGTTTTATTTTGATTTGATTTAAATAACTTCAGAAAACTTCAATTTATATCCTTAAATTCTACTCCAAAGGAAACAAAATAGAATAATCAAATCGTACTTAACGCTGACCAAATCCTATTAACCCCTTGATAGCGTTAAAAATCAGTAAACATCGGATGGCATACACATCAGTGCAATTATGTATTCAGCCGCCCCGGCTACGGCGTAGTCGGTAGTCAGTCGAGCCGTAGACGCGGGCCGCACGCACGTGCGCTACGAACTACGAAACATCTCCGCGCGTAGTACGGAGGGTGGTTGTACGGAGTTTCAGTGGTGTTAAAGTAGTTATGGATATAGTCAAGATCTCTATTAGGATTTACGTGATTATTTTGACCACAAAGGGTAAGAAGTTTATGTTATATTTATAAATAAAAATGTGTGTATGGCACTAAAAATTGAAAAACTAGTGTTTGCTACTTGATTTATAGCTGGTTTTATCGCTCTGCAGCAATACATATTATTTGGCCATTGTGAGTGACTGTAAATAAATTATAAGTAAGTAATTGACAATGAAAAACAAATATTAACATCTTTTTTTAAACAGATTAATATTTTTGTAACAAGCAAAAGTTTGATCATTGCCGATTAATTAAGTACCTACTCATGTTAGAATATTATTGTCTTTTAATACCACAATATTAAAACTACTTATTTTAAAATGGTCATTATTTAAGTTATAGTTAAAGTAAGCTTAGAAGAATTGAGTTTTTCAAACGATTTGATTTTATTAGGCAGTGTTATTCCACAAAATAATTTACATCATCTAAATTTGAAAAAAAAAACATTAACATTAAATGTGGTAGGTATCTTTAAGTATAAGTTACTGGTTTAGATTAAACGGCACATTGAGTGACAGCTAATTAAAATATGCGCTAGTCATCCAGCAATTAATTAATAAACTAAACAAACAAATGGATTAATCAATACAGTCAAACTTAGCATAAATATTACCACGAGAATAATTAATCAGTGACAGTTTTTATTATAGTCCTTGACCTCTGGGCCAGATAATTGTCATTCGATCCATAACTTCTTACAGCGGTTACGCACTGTATCCAGTCTTAATTAGAAGATGTTTTTAAGTATAATTTGATTAATTTATTGAATATGGTTTTCATTGTTATTTTTGTTATATCTGTAGGTACTTAATTATTGTAAACCCCTGCATAAAAAGGACTGATTAAAAGGAGAAACAGAAAATCAGTGTCGGGACTTGCAGTGTGCAGGAGTTTACAGAAAATTATAGGAGTTGCAGTGGTGGGAACGAGACCACTGCAACTCCAGTAAGTAATTTTTTAAATTATGTGTATGTCTTTTGTTGCCAAATGAAATTATTTTCTTTCTTTCTTGTTTCAAGGATATGAATCGGATACATTAAACAAAATTGATTCTACATCTTCTATCTTTCCCGAACACTATAATCTCACTGAAGGGGTCCTCTTCAACGCGACAGCGAATAGGCATTACTGGGCAGTTGATATGCATCATCCAAGACTGCCTGCTACTGCATCTCACATAATACTACTTTTTGCCCTTTCTTTGTTGCTGTCTTTGCCGAACACTATAATCCGTGCCTTTTTAAGGTAAGGAGTGAATAGGCATTTACTGAGTAGCTACGTATCATCCAAGACTGCATCTCACTTAACGCCAAATGTTATTGCGGTCAAAATACTTGCCTTATTCTGCATAAAAAAACTTCGGACTGGGGTTGGTCGATTTCAGATCAATCAACCTTCGTTCTTTTATAGATGAACAAGACTGCATCTCACTTAACGCCAAGTGTTATTGCGGTCAAAATACTTGCCTTATTCTGCATAAAAAAGCTTCGGACTGAGGGTGGTCGGTTTCAGATCAATCAACCTTCGTTCTTTTATAGATGAACAAGACTGCATCTCACTTAACGCCAAGTGTTATTGCGGTCAAAATACTTGCCTTATTCTGCATAAAAAAAGCTTCGAACTGGGGTTGGTCGGTTTCAGATCAATCAACCTTCGTTCTTTTATAGATGAACAAGACTGCATCTCACTTAACGCCAAGTGTTATTGCGATCAAAATACTTTCCTTATTCTGCATAAAAAAGCTTCGAACTGAGGGTGGTCGGTTTCAGATCAATCAACCTTCGTTCTTTTATAGATGAATCACTTAAAGGTTCACATTACCACTTCGCGTGGGCAAGGCGTCTGATATAAAGACCCACGAATGCACCGGCCCGTGTCTGATTCGAAGGTCAGACGCCCCTCGTATGGCCCGCGCACATTACATTATGATTATGTAAATGCTACCAAAAGATTACCATATGAGNCATATAATTGATCAAAAAATTACCATTTATTCATTGGCATAAATGAGACAAATGATCTTTATTTAAAGTTGTGCTTTTTATCTGATGATTAAATAAAATAACGACTTTACCAGGATGAATTTTATTTCAAAACCATCTTTATAATAAAACACTAACCAAAGAAAAACACTATTATTTATTTAGTCATTTGATGAATTGATTGACTGATAAACAACATCTGCCTCTGTCAATTTACTTTTCAAATTAATAGTGTTTACCCAAAATTGTATTGCTTGGGGTGACACGTGCTCCATCCCGGATAGTTTTGAGGGGTCAATCAAATCACGAAACTTGTCGACTATGAAGTCGATATTGACAAATTATAATATGAATAGTTCAACATTCTTCCGATAGTTAGCTAGAACTAAATTAATGATTGAAATTAAAACTTTGTTGTTTTTGGTAAATAACAATCAATTTTTGACTGACACAAAGAAAGAATAAGGCACCTTGATCATTTGACGATTTTTATGAACTAATTCAATTAGTTAGACTATACAAATAAAGATATTTTTGATTTGATTTAATTTCATTCGGATTTTTGAGTAAGTAGAAGAAAAACTCGCGCACATGATATTTTATAGGACTAAATTTTTTTAATGTTTCCTACACAGTGCTAAGACATAGTAAAATATATTCACATACTCTACCAAAAAAGGTCTTTTTTGCACATGTATCTGCAATATTATAGTCTAAAGAGCACAGTCGTCACCACTAAGGGTGACCCTGAATCCTAGCTTGCTATTCAGAATAAATAAAAAAGTTTTCACTGACCACAGAGTTTTTTAGATATACCTATCTTTTTTATCCTAAACTAGTGACCCGCCCCTGCTCGCACAGGTACAATGTATTATACTTAAAAACCTTCCTCTTGAATCACTATCTATTTTTAAAAAATGCATCAAAATCCGTTGCGTAGTTTCAAAGTTCTAAGCATACATAGGGACAGACAGAAAAAAGCGACTTTGTTTTATAATATGTAATGATAGTGAAGACTACAACAGTAATAGTAGTGCCAAGATTGACTCAATATTCATGCTCAGTGTGCTTACCATGAGTTTACGTTAGGTGTACTCGCTAAAACCGACTGCGTAAAAAAATGACATTAAATGTATGACATATTGTGCAGCGCCCCTAGCGGCTACTTTCAAGAAATAAAATCTTCATAGATTTTTTTGACGTACTTGCTAGCGAGTACACCTATCGTAAACTCATGGTAAGCACACAGCTCTCAAGTTACTTATTTCGGCTTTTGCCTAGTAGATAATATTACATTAATAGTAATCTTTTGTGGTCCCGGTTTCCGTGTCATATAGGACACAAAGAATTATGTCAGACACATGTCCAACTAAGAAAAGGTTACCGCCTAAATATTCGTTTTAATAAAATACCGTTACACAAGATTTACAGATGTTAAGCCTTCCAAACACAGAAAAACCAACTTAATACAATAATATTATGTACTTTTCAAAGTAATGTCGAGCAAGAAAAGTCAAATAAGTAAAATTTTTGTCTGTAATTAATATACAATTATCATTGAACTACTTTTTATAAAGTACAATTAATAGTTAATCGTTGTTCAATCAGTGTCGCAGGTACTAAAGTATAATAACTAAAATAAACATCAGGTACGACTTAATTGTTAATCGACCGGTGAAATGTATACCGACCGGTCGATATACATTTAGAGGTGTTTGTTTTAAAAAGTTTATCGGTCAAGTAAATGTCACATTGGAATAGTTAATCTAGTATTTAAATGGAAAAAGTTTGTCATGATTAATGTATGAACGTTAAAAATATAAAGTTAATGTTTGTAATTATTTCAATAAGACACTATTTTTGTCACTGACACAATATTACTTCGTTCTTTGAAATCTTTTTGTTTTACAATTTCCCAATATTGCGTATAATCCGGGCCTTTTTAAGGCGAGAGAGAATAGGCACTTACAGGGCAGATATTATTATTATGTACATATAACACCAGGTACGATTGCGATCAAATACCTGCCTTGTCCTGCATTAAAAAAAGTATTTTGTAAGTAACTAATGAAACCTGCAAAACCACAGGAAAAAGCTAACACATACCACTAATTGCTTTCACAAATTGTACTTAGATTACACCTACAGTCCATAAAAATGGTATTCAGGATACAATTCCACGTCCTACATATAAATTTACCTAAATATAATTTAATAGTATCGCATAAACCAGAAGCCTAAATTGGTTTAAAATTGCGAATTTTCCGAATTTGAAATTGATTTGTAAAACAGATAGGTACGAGTACTAGCGTGGGAGCGTGGTCTGGGTGGAACGTGTCAAATGACCAATGGCCTTTACAGATATTTAATATTTAGTACAGGCGTATATTAGCCAGACTACTAGACTAGTTTAAATTATAGGTGACGGCCCACGAGTAGTGGATGAATATGAATAGAATTTAATTTGAAGTCACAGAAAGCAATCATAGTAGGTACGTCAGACTATCTTTATATCAAATTAACACCTAAGTACTACACCTACGTAACTATTTATAATGTAAGATGCCGTGGTTATTAACTTTTTTTAGCATCGCATAGATCATGTCAAGCTTCAACCACACCGACGCGTTCAGATCGCCACCGCCGGCACGATCAAAAGCCAATGACAGGTCGCGCGACCCATGACAGTTCACGCGACCTGTCATTGGCCTTTGGTCGCGCCGTGATCGCGCTGGCGATGGCGATCTGCATGCGTTGGTGTGGTTGAAGCTTCACTCGTATTTTCAAATGTCATTGAACTCAAAATTTTAATCCTGCAAAAATTCCAGCCAGTGATCATTCTGAGTGTTGGAATTGAACCAATCACCGGTTAGAATATTTCTTGACTGTAGACTCATACTTGAGTGCCGTTTCAAGTACAGGTCTGAGTGTTTGAGTGGTCTCAGCCGAGTTCACAAAAAATGTATGAAAACTGTCTTGTCGACCACTTGTGGCGCACAGGGCCGGCCCTAATCTTATAATT